AAAAAAAAAGTAACCCAAAGCGGCCAATTCCGGGCAAAAATCCTTTTTTAAGCCTCTGTTGGGCTGATGGAGAAGAGAGATCCACAGGACGGTCACTGCCGGAAAGGAACTCATGAGGGAAATTCAGAACGGAGCTGGCACAATCCCAGCAGAGTATTTTTTGTTTGTTTGTTTTTTTAGAGACAGTCTTACTTTGTCACCCTCGGTAGAGTGCTGTAGCGTCACAGCTCACAGCAACCTCCAACTGCTGGGCTCAGGTGACTATCTTGCCTCAGCCTCCCGAGTAGCTGGGAATATAGGCTTCTGCCGCAACGCCCAGCTATATTACTGTTGCAGTTTGGTCGGGGCCGGGTTCAAACCCGCCACCTTCGGTATATGGGGTGGCGCCTTACCCACTGAGTCACAGGCGCCGCCCAAGCACCAGAGTACTTTTGGTGAAAAATAAGAATTGCCAAAATATAGCTTGACAAGGCTGAAAGTACCTCTGTGCCCGTCCCGTATTTTCCACCTTTATCCTAATTAGTACTGGCGAGTTATTTTCGTAGAACGAACTGTTCCTTTTGCATGCACCAACCAGCCTTCACATCACACCTTAAACTTGGCTCCCCAAATTCATCAGCTTGACACAGGAAGTATCGGGTGTTTAAAACACTTCTCATCGTTACTACCATTTGTGGTACACTAACAGCCGGGCCAGTAACTCAAACCCCGTTTTATAGATGAGGAAACTGAGTCTCCAAGGAGGCAAGTGAGCAGCACAAAGGGCCACACAAGGAACTTGGAACTCAGATAGATTTGAACCTAAGTGAATCAAGTGTGGGGTTCTCACTACAGAGCCACTGCCTCCCAGGGAGGTACACAAAGTCTTTTTCCATCTCATTCATCCTGTGGTTTCTTTTGTCATGCCACCCAGACCTGGAAGAAAAACACTCAGCCTTGACTTGTAGCTATTTATATGATCCCGGGTTTTTAAAGCCTAGCTCACTGTCCTCTGTCTTGCAACTGGCCAAACTCAGGCCTCTTTTGCCATGCCATGTGTTAGTAGCCAGCCTCTAACATGGACTCCCAATTTTCATCTCCTAGTTTTCCGGTCAGTGTGGAATTTTCTCTATATAACATAACTCCACAGTGTTGAATCAGAAATGGTCTGTGAGGTCAGGTGAGGTGGCTCACATCTGTAATCCTTGCACTCTGGAAGGTCAAGGCGAGTGGATTGTTGGAGCTTATGAGTTTGAGAACAGCCTGAGCAAAAAAAGCAAGACCTTATTCTCTACTAAAAAAACAGAAAAAAGTGAGACAAGAAGATCACTTGAGCCGAAGAGTTTGAGGTTGCTGTGAGCTGTGATGCAACAGTACTCTGCCAAGGGCAACAAAGAGAGACTCTGTCTAAAAAAAAAAAAAAAAAAAAATGGGGGCCAGGGCAGTACCTCATGCCTGTAATCCCAGGGACAAAGTGAGACTCTGTCTCAAAAAAATAAATAATTAAGTAAAAAAAATAGAAATGTTGGGCAGCACCTATGGCTCAGTGGGTAGGGTGCCAGCCCCATATACCGAGGGTGGCGGGTTCAAACGCAGCCCTGGCCAAACTGCAACAAAAAAAAAGTTGGCATTGTGGTGGGCGCCTATAGTCCCAGCTACTCAGGAGGCTGAGGCAAGAGAATCGCCTAAGCCCAGGAGATGGAGGTTGCTGTGAGCTGTGTGATGCCATAGCACTCTGCCAAGGGCGATAAAGTGAGACTCTGTCTCTACAGAAAACAAACAAACAAAAAAATGTGGTAAATTCTACATAACATAAAATTTACCATCATAACCATTTTATTCATTCATTCATTCATTTATTTTTGGAGATAGAGTCTCGCTCTATTGCCTTTGGTAGAGTGCCGTGGTGTCACATCCCACAGCAACCTCAGACTCTTGGGCTTAAGAGATTCTCTTGCCTCAGCCTCCCCAAGTAGCTGAGACTACAGGAACCTGCCACAATGCCCAACTATTTTTTGGTTGCAGTTGTTGTTGTTTGGCAGGCCTAGGCCTGGTTCGAACCTGCCAGCTCCCATGTATATGGCTGGCATCCTTGCTGCTGAACTACAGGCGCTGAGCCTAAAGAAGGAAATCTTTATTTATTTATTTGAACTTTTTTGTTTCTTTTGCAGTTTTTGGCCGGGGCTGGGTTTGAATCCGCCACCTCTGGCATATGGGGCCGGTGCCCTACTCCTTTGAGCCACAGACACCGCCCTATTTATTTATTTATTTATTTACCTATTTATTTTTTGAGACAGAGTCTCAAGCTGTCGCCCTGGATAGAGTGCCATGGCATCACAGCTCACAACAACCTCAAACTCTTGGGCTTAAGAGATTCTCTTGCCTTGGCTTCTCAAGTAGCTGGGACTACAGGTGCTTGCCATAATGCCCGGCTATTTTTGGTGTAGTTGTCATTGTTGCTTAGCAGGCACTGGCCAGGTTGAAACCTGCTACTCTAGGTGTATGTGGCTGGCGCCCTGCCAACTGAGCTATGGGCACTGCCAGGAGAAGGAAATCTTTTTTTCTTTCTTTTTTTTTTTTTTTCCAAGACAGAGTCTCACTTTATTGCCATTGGTAGAGTGCTGTGACATCACAGCTCACAGCAACCTCCAACTCCTGGGCTTAGGCGATTCTCCTGCCTCAGCCTCCTGAGTAGCTGAGACTACTGGCACCCACTACAACACCCTATTTTTTTGTTGCAGTTTGGCCAGGGCCGGGTTTGAACCCGCCACCCTTGGTATATGAGGCCAGTGCCCTACCCACTGAGCCACAGGAACCACCCCAGTAGAAGGAAATCTTAAAGATTAGAACAGAAACTCATGATTTTGAGGACAGATAGAATAGAGAAAAATCAATGCAATAAGAAAACATGTTCTTGGCTGGGCACGGCAGCTCACACCTGTGATTTTAGCACTCCGGAAGGCCGAGGTGGGTGGATTGCCTGAGCTCACTATCTGTAGACCAATCTGAGCAACAGTGAGACCCCCTTCTCTAAAAAGTAGCCAGGTATTTTTATAGGCGCCTGTAGTCCCAGCTACTTGGGAGGCTGAGGCAAGAGAATCGTTTGAAGACTGGGCATGGTGGCTAATGCCTGTAATCCCAGAACTCTGGGAAGCTGAGGTGGTTGAATCACCTGAGTTCACAAGTTTGAGATCAGCCTGAGTTAGAGCCAAATCCCATCTCTAAAAATAGCTGGGAATTGTGGCAGGCGCCTATGGGGAGGCTAAGGCAAAAGAATTGTTTAAGCCCAGGAGTTTGAGGTTGCTGTGAGTTATGATGCCACAGCACTCTACTGAGGGCAATAAAATAAGACTCTCTCTCAAAAAAACAAAACAACCCCCCCTCCCCGTAACACAGTAGTTATGGTGCCGAGGCTGGTGTGTTCAAACCTGGCCTGGGCCTGCTAAAATAACAATGACAACTACAACAACAACAAAGAAATAGTGGGCGTTGTGGCAGGTGCCTATAGTGTCAGCTACATGGGAGGCTTAGGCAAGAGAATTGCTTAAACCCAAGAGTTTGAGGTTGCTGTGAGCTGTGATGGCATAGCTCTCTACTGAGGGTGACATAGTAAGACTCTGTCTCAAAAAAAAAAAAAGGAAAGAAAAGAAAAGAAAACGTGTTCCTTATCCAATGTACACACCCCTATTATGAAACTAATTTAAACCTTTTTATATGAAAGCTATAACCAAATAGCCTAAGAATATGGGGAGGGGGG